TTTACTAAGCACTGCAAAGTCAATACAACTTCCTTTGTTCAAAGCTGTTACTACTCCATTTAAAGAACTATGGCCTCGTTTTTGACACGTGCCATCAATAAAAACTTTATTTAAAGCTTCTCAAGTAGATGCTTTATTTGTTGAACTATTTTTAATTTTATCTACAGCATTTTTCATAGATTGTAATCCAGCTGAATGGTTAGCTTTTGATATTGTTTTCATTGCATTATTGAACGCATTTTTGTTTATACATGACATACAGATTATACAAGAAAAATCTTTAATAGCTTCATGTCCTTTACCTATTTCATGAAAAGCTATTATAACTTTTATCACGAAAAACTATTACAACACGTCAAATAAATCTCTTTCTTGCTTTGAATTAGTTTTATAAAGAACATTTGAAGTGTATCTGTTAAACTCATATTTACATTTTTTGCAACTAATAATTAATTTGTAAGAAAACCCCATTCTAAGTTTGGAATCATCATTAATAAACATGTTACTTTCACAATTTGGACATAATTTCTCAATAATATCTTTCAGAATTTTAAAGTTAAAAAGAATGTAGAAACTGTTTTCACTATCTAAATTTGAGCTTTTTAGAACTTGAACAAGTTGAGATGGTGTTTGACTCTTGTTCTTAAGACTATTTTTCGAAAACCCATTAAATTTTCTTTTTCTTTTTCGTTCATTGTTCTTTTTATTTCCTATCGCTATTTATATATATGCATATAATATATATGTAGATGGATACTATCTTTTGTTGAAATGCAAACAAAGCATGTTGTATGAAATGCTACTTATTATTAACTTATAAATAGTTTGGCATGATGACTTTAATTAAACACTTGCAAACCAAGCTGGCACAATAAACCATAGAATGTTTAAATTTTTATGCAGTTGATTGTAAAGAAAAGCTAGTTAATGAAGACTTTACAAAAAAAAAATGTTGTTGCTATGGTCGTTGCTAATGACGTTTTTTTATTCTAACCAACAAACTATCCAAAATATATTAATTTTCAAAATGAGTAAAAGATAAAATTAGTTTGACCAGAGTTAATGGATCATTAAACAATTCTATCACTTAAATATCAAAAAATTCATTTTTTCATTAAAAAAAAATTTTTTTTTGTAGTTCTACACCTTATTATCCACCTTATATGCTTATTATTGTTATTATTATTATTATTATTATTATTATTATTATTATTATTATTATTGCTATTATTATTATTATTATTATTATTATTATTATTATTATTATTATTATTATTGCTATTATTATTATTATTATTATTATTATTATCATTATTATTATTATTATTATTATTATTATTATTATTGCTATTATTATTATTGTTATTATTATTATTATTATTGCTATGATATGGTTATCCACCTTATATGCTTATTACGTACTTCGAGAAAAACGCAATTAAAAAAAAATTTATTAAAAATTAACTCTTTGTTAAACGTTTTTCGAAACGAATAATTTATATGAATTTTTGCAGAACTCTTTAAAAATAAGTATTCAATAATGTTTGCCAACATTAACTTGCTTATTTTGAAAAATGTCAAAAATGATATTATTAACTTTAAGGCGTTTTGAAAAACGACTGCAATATGGATGATACAACGAATATGTTAAAATGAGATAAAATGGCGCAAAATTTAAATGCTCTCAACTAAAGTCACTAAAGAAAAAAAATTGTAAATAATTGTTTTAAAATTGTATAACTTTGATAAATTTTATTTTAGTAAATATAGTAATTGCAGTTTTATATAGTGTAGTTTTATAAGTGCTATAATTTTATTATAGCACCTAAAAACTTTATCATAGTGCGTTGGTTTTTGCAAAGAAAAGCAATATAAATCATATTTTAATTTTAATACAAACTAATTTTTTTTTTAACTTTGTTGCGATTAACCATTTCTATACAAACAATGTATATATAAACATATATGCTATTAGATTTATTAAGGATCGTATGTAAAATAAATAAAATCTTCTATTAATTACAATTCTTTTTTTGCTCAAGCTGTTTTGTTTGAGTTTTTTGCAGTTATGTTATTATATTAAAAAAAAATTGACAAGATTAAAAAAGCACGAAACATACTGTCACTTTTGAGTGAAAAATATGAAACTTCAACTTTAGATTTGCTCCTCTCTTAATAATTTCTAATTTCTAAAGTTAGGTCATCTAAGACCTTTAAAAATAATAGAAATAAGATTTTATTTTAATTTTTTATAAAAACTCTATCTATTAAAGATAAATGGAATACATTTTTGTGGGATATATTCTAATAATGACAGAATGAGATATTCATAAAAGACGTCATCCAAACAGGGAGGATGTGGGGGGGGGGGAAGATAAAAAGGAAAAAAAAGAACCAGAAGAAAAGGGGAGTTTATTTGAAAAGGACGTCACTTTATATCTTTTTTATTTTACTTTAATTAACATGAAAAACTATGTAAGCATGTGTTTTTAAAAAGATAATGTATGAGATTATTTTTAATTTTACTTTACAAAGGTGTAGCAGAAGATTCAAACATCATGGCAAGATGAAATAATATTTTAGGGGGTTTGAACTGGTAGGGGGAATGGGCAGAATTTTAGGACGTCCTTTTCAAGGGGGTGTAAGGAAAAAGGACGTCCGATTACAAAGGTGGGGGGGGGAGTTAAAAATTAGCTTCGTTCTTTACAGATGGCCCCAAAACTATTTATTTATTACTATTGTAATAAATACAACCTCTTATCTGTGAAAATGATATATCTGTACCAGTTTTATATATTTTAAGGCATTTGTATGCAACAAAATAAAAATTAATAAAAAAATGCAAAAGAAAACTTGACGCATAAAGGTTTATTTTGCCACAAATTGACGTCAATGCCAAAAATCATTTTGGCTTATCTTTTAGATAAGCGTTTAATATTATTGTTTTAGTTCTTAATCATAAGAATACATTTTCTCTTTAACTTTGGTTTAATGCTCTTAGATCTTCTAAATTTCATTTGTATAGCGTTACGTAGAAATTTTTAAATGTGTTAACGTCTTTATGTTGAATTTGCAGGCGTTTTATGGAATAATCGCGTATGTCTATATATTTATAAAATGTGAAAACTAGAAAATTTTGTTTTAAATTTTCTTTTTTTCTATATATATATATATATATATACTTTTTTTTGCTATGAATATATAAGCAAGATTGAAAAAATTTCAAAATTTATTACGCTAAAATAAGGTCTTGAACCCTCCAAAACAATACTGATGACAGCGCATTCAACCTCTGCGCTATCAATGACATGCATTTAGCAAAAAAACAAACCTTATTATAAGCCTATTATAAGCTCTACGTATGCCGATAAGGTGCGCATGTTAAGTTTTTTGGTCTAAAATTTATTTTTTAGAAAAAATTGTTTTACTAAAAGATATTGATGTAAATAAGGAATAGGTCAAAACTTCTCGGCTATAAATAGATATTAAATTGGTGAAGATTTGTATTTTACGGAACCTCGAAGGGTAGGATATAAAAGGAAAAAGTATAGAAAAGTTCGGTTTGGAATAGATATACAAATACCCGTATTTTTACTGGGTTATCTCAGCTAGCCGTTATTATTATCATTGTTTTCACCATCATTTGTTTCTCCTGCATTGTACTCTGCCTAACTTAACGACAACTTTATAATGTCCTCAATAGTTACAAGATTCGCTTTAAGGTATTTATTCATTTAGAGAGCAACAGTTCAAAGTTGCGTAAATTCCATATGCATAAAATACATTTATTAAAGAATATATAAGTTATGGTCTATTTAATAGTTTGTTTCAATTATTAGTTCATAGCAAAATAATTCTTAAATAAAAAAGTTGCGCTATGACACCTTTTAAAAATGGCCAAAATCGTTTTAAAATTAAAACTGGTTACACACTATACGTATTTTAAAATAAAAAAAACCAGTTGTATTCCGACGTTGGCCCGACATTGGTTCAATTTTAGCACTTAATTTAAAAAATTATGCAACACTTTTAAACGTTGTTTTGACGTTGGTCTTACGTACTTGTGCAAATTGGGGTTGCCATAGTGACAATTTAAGGTATTATAAGTATATTGTAATCAATTCATGCTTTATATAAGAATTATAAGTATACAGTAACCAATTCATGTTTTATAAAAGAAACATTGAAAAATAAAAATTGTTGGCTCATCTTTTACTACTTATAGTAGCCATAGTTATGACTCATAGTAGCCATAATATGCCTTAATAGCCATAACAACTTAAATCAAATGATTTGTTGCTTGAAATTGTTTTATATAATGTAGTAAAGTTATATTGAATTGTAAAGGAATTGTTATAGATTTAAAAAAATAACAGTATATTAGGTATGAAAAGTATTAAAACTTGGTAAAAAAAATGTATTGGCTTAAAAACATTATTCTATAAAACTTAAATACAAAGCAGCTCAATTCCTATAAACTTAAAAAAAAAATCATTAAAAAAAATCATATACGAAGCAATTAAAAAGTGTTTTTAATTGCTTCGTTTAACGTTAACCTTAGAGGTAACACTTGAAATTATAATAAAGTTATTTATTACAATTTCAAGTGTTAACTCTAGGGAATTTGAGAACTCTTGGTTTATATTCATTTATAGAACTAAGACGCACTAAAACACTTGAAATTACCTGGACCTTTTTTTTTTTTGAGAAATATTTGAAAATGACTTTTTACAAATTTTCTCAAATATTGGAAAAAAAAAACTTAGCATGAGGTTATATTAATTGCTAAAAACGGAATAGCAGATAAAGCTATAGGTATAATATAAATAAAGTTATGTTATTTTGACTTAATAATAAATCTTTTTAAAATGAAATGTTTTTCAGAATATTGTCCATTAAAACAATTTAAACAAAGCTAGGTAAACATTTTGTTAAATACTTTTATAAACTTGTTACTGTTATCACAGAATTATTTAAGTGAAATAAGATATTATTTTTAGTTTATTGGGCACAATGGAGCAATTGGACAAGTTGCAATGCTTCTCAGGGAAATATGATGAGAACAAGAAGGTGTATCAGATTTAATACTAGAGATCAGTGTTCTGGTAACAGCTATGAAGTACAAGAATGTTATGGTAACATTTTAAAGTAATATAAACAGTTTGAGAAAAAAAGTTATTAATCATAGTTAAGTTTAAAAATGTAATACAAAATTTAATTTTTTTTTTTTTTTTAAATTTACATTTATCTTGATAATCTTCATTTAACATTTAGACAAGTAAGTTTATTTCAAGGTTAACTTGTTATGCTTCTTTAAAAAGTTCCCTTCTCAGTGCAGTTCAGTGCATTGCATTCATCACAAAAAGTAATTATTTCAGCGTAGACTGTTGAGCAATGACTATGTTCCTGACAGCTACAATCACTCTAGGTAAATTAATTCACCTGACAAAACATACAGAAAAAAATACCAACAACATCAACAATTACATATTTACGAACATACAGCTTCCAGAATAACTCTTCGCTTTTCTTTTTTTTAGTTTATGTTAATTTTTGTCTAATAATGTTCCGGATACTATAATTCCTTAGTATTATTTATAACATTACTTTCACGTGACATGTTCACAGGCACTCTTTTTATCTAAATAAATTACGAAACATTCATTTTGTTCTTCATACCTGTAAAATGTACAAATTATCCCAATATAGCTGTGTTATGTTATAAATAAATAAACGCTTAGTATAAAACAAATATTTCTAGCCAAAGGGCATATCTTATAATTATAACTAAGGATAAAAGTGCACTCCATATAATTATATGAGTATAATTCTTATAGTTATAAAAGTAGAATTCTTATAATCATATGAGTATAATTCTTATAATTATATGAGTATAATTCTTATAATTATATGAGTATAATTCTTATAGTTATATGAGTATAATTCTTATAATTATATTAACATAAAACGAATATTTCCCTCCATATAATCAAATATAAACTAAATATAAACCAAAATTTCTGTTCTTGAAAGATTTTAACATATTGTTAAAGTAAAGTTTTAATAAAATAAAAATTTGTTAATTTTTTATTATTTTTTAAATTCGTTTTAAAGAATCGGAGTACATCTGAAGTTTCATTGCTGATTCTACTTCTTATTTTTGTTGCAAAAAGACTGGACGCAGATTAAGCGCTTTCTGATTCTTTAATGGTAAACTCAATAGTCATAAAAAATAAACGCTCTTTGCAAAAAATCACTACGTATTCCTCCGTTTTTAAACAACAGCATTTCCTTGAGAGTTTTCACCGACAGACTAGCATTAATGATAGCAGATTTTTATATCATTATTAGATAAGTCAAATAATCACCTACCTTTAGACTTGTATCTAATATAGCCTTTTGTATACAATTTTTTAATAAATAGATGCGTTGAAGAATTGACAAAAGTCTGTTTCATGTAGTCTTCTTGTCTTTTATTAGAGTTATATTTCAAATTGTCAAACTGAAAACTTCAATATGTTTTTAAATGATATTTTAAGTAAAAGCATTCATGATAAGAAATTATACTACTTGTTGGGTGATATTAATTTGGATTGATTTCAATAGCATAGCAATTATAATTAAAATTTTTTTTTATCAATGTGTTAGAATATGGCGCATTTTCTATAACTAGTAAACCAACAAGAACAACTACTACATCAACTACCTCATTAGACAATATAGTAACAACCAATATTTTTAATAAATAACTAAAAAAAGTTATAGTTAAAAGTGATATCTCTAACAACTTTGATTATGACGTTAATTTTCCAAAATCTATTGTAAAAAAAAAACCCAAAGCATAATTTCTCCATGGATCACAAAAGATTTCAGAAAACCCTCTAAAATTAAGCAAGAATTATACATCAAATTTTTGAAAAACAAAACAAGGTAAAGTAAAATTCTTTACAAAAACTATGCCAAAATATTTGAAAGAAAAAGGAAAAATTTAAAAAAATTGCACTGCTCAAATTTACTTGAAATAAACATGAATAACTCAAAATGCACCTGGAAGATAATAAGAGAAATTACAGGCACGCGGATAACAAAAACGTGCACTCTACCCAAAACTTTAAAAATTAACAATGATTTTTCCACTGATCTAACTGGGATATGTGATGAATTAAACATATATTTTTGTATCAGTACGTCCAAATTTAGCTAAAAAAATTCCCTATTTGATTAACAAAGTAGATGCTTTTGGTTTTTCGATATCGTCAACCTTAACATTTTATGTTGAAGTTGACAATATTGGAACTTTCCTTTTAGGAACTTGAAAAATCTTTTAAAATGCCTCAAATAAATAAATCCGTTAGTCACAATGAAACTTATAGTAACGTTGTCATCAACTCCTATGAACTCTTAAAAGATGTACTATTTAAGGTTTTTTCTAGTTTAATCAAAAAGGGAATATTTCCAGATCATTTAAAAATACTAAAGTTGTTCCAATTTTCAAGAAAGGCAATCCAACCATAGTTACAAGTTATTGCTCAACTTCTGTTCTTTCTGTTTTTTTCTAAAGTTTTATATATTAAAATTTATATATATCGTTATTTATAGTTACCTTTCCTTAAATAATATACTATTATCAATCAATGTGGGTTCAAAAAAAAGTAACTCGACAGAACACGCAGTACTCCAAATTACTTGCAGTATAGCTGAATCTTTTGAGAAGTCCCAATATATCAGGAATTTTCATAGATTTATCATTTAAAAAACAAGAAAAAAAGGTTTGTTTGTAATGAAACTGGTACAACTAATTTATTAAGTATAACCTATGAAGTTCTTTAAGACTTACGCTCGGACCACTGCTTTTTTTTAATCTACATCAATGATCTCCCAAAAGCATCATATTTAACTACCGTCATGTTTGCTGATGACACAAGTCTCTTTTTGTTGCATAGAAATATTTTAACATTATTTTAAACTATAAACATTGAATTAGCGAAAATTTATGAATGGTTCAAAATGAATAAATTGTCACTAAATGCGGATAAAACAAAATAGTCGCTCTTTCGTCCGACTTCTAAAAAGAAACAACAGCCTCCTAATTTGCTCTTACTTTTTATAGAAAAAATCGAAATGAAAAGAGAAATAATAAATAACTTTTTAGGTGTCCACGTTGATGAAAACCTTAGATGGAAATATCACACTAATTTTTCGTACAACAAAATCGCTAAAAGTATAGGAACAATGTATAAGGCTAGAAGTGCTTTAAATATACATAATTTAACAAAATAATATTTTTCTTTTATTCATTGTCATTTAAATTATGCAAGTAATGCTTGGTGTTGTGCCAATAAAAGTAAACTGGAACCTTTTTTTCGTCAGCAGAAGCATGTTGCTAGTCTTATAAATTTTGAAGACAGATTTACTCATGCCCGGCCTCTTTTATCTAAAATAATATTTTTAAAAAATATCAGGTCCAAGTTTTTAATATTCTTTGTTTTATGTACAAATGTAAAATAAATTTCCTCCCCAATTTCTTTACACAATTTATATACCTTGAAAGATAAAAATAAATACAATTTGTGAAATGACAATTTAGTTCGGCAACCTTATCAAACTAATTTTGGAAAAACAAATGTTGGATTTCGCATAGCATCTCTTTGGAAAAAAAAAGTTTTAAAATTTTTTAATTTTTCACTAGAATGGTGTTACCTCTAATTTAAAAATAAACTTAAAAAAATTGCTTAACGATTTCATGTATTATATAATGCATTTATGCTGCCAAGTTTTTATAGAGATACAAGTATATTTGATTATGATTTATTGAAATTGTAAATTAGGATCGGCTCTCGATGACGAGATCTGACAGTCTTCTGCAGTTCTCCGCGTTCTTTTTATAAAATTAAATAATTGTATGTCTGCATAACAATATGATAATTTAAGAAATTTAAAATTCAAACAACCAGCAGTTTATGTTTGAATAAAATATCACTATGAAAAAGTCACAACAGAAAACGTCCGGGCGACATAAAATTCGCAAGAAACTTGAATAAATGCAATCAAGCATCAACAAATTTTAAAAATGCAACCGCAATCCAATATCAAATTTTATAATAAATCCAATGCAATTATTTTTTATTTATTTTTTAATTTATTTATTTTAATTAGCATTGCATTTATTTATTCTAATTAGCAGTTATTTAATTATTCTATACAGGATCATGAATTTTACCTATAAAAATAAGAAAAGCAACTTAAAACCAGCATATATTTTTAGCTGTGGTTTAGGACGTTATTGTCAACGTCGTATCGACGTCGAAAAATGTGTTGGCTGATGGTATGAAACTGACGTCGCCACAATTTGATTTTGGAAGTCGGCTCGATGATGCACCCAACTGTTGGGCTACGTTGGCCCCAGGTTGACATCCGACGTTGGGCGAGCGTCGAATTCTAACGTTGGTCCGACGTAATATTATTATATTTAAGAATCTTAACAATTTTAGTTTATTTGATAAGCAAGTGCTTATGATTTCATACGTAATGTTCATTAAAACTATTACATCAATTTTTTTTTCTTTAAACAAGTTTAAATAATTTTTTTTCGTGATAAACGAAAATTGATTTTTATGCTGATAAATGAAGCAACTTGATTTCATAATAACACAGAAAACCAAATTTGTTGAAATAATCAGTTTAATAACATTAAAATATTCGTACAAATAATACATATTTAGAAAAATAAAAATATTTTTTTCGACTACTTAGCTTCTGTACGAATCTTAAGTCATTAATTTATTTGAGAGGAACGTTGACGTTCGAACGCTGCTCATCATACAATTTGATAGAAACCTCAGAATTTTTATCTTTTGTTTGATGAGCTTTTAACCATAACTACTATCAAATTTATATATATATATATATATATATATATATATATATATATATATATATATATATATATATATATATATATATATATATATATATATATATATATATATATATATATATATATATATATATATATATATGTATATATATATATATATATATATATATGTATATATATATATATATATATATATATGTATATATATATATATATTTTGGTTTGAGATATCAAAGTTTAAATAACTAATGGAATAAAAACTGAAAGCAATAACTACCTGAATTATATGCTATCTCCTCATTTATTAGGTTACAAATAAAATAAATATAAATTTAGATTAGTTCTCAATTTACTTCTCTGTTAATGACTCTTAGCAACAATATACGCGGTATATGTTCTTGGCATTCTACTTAATGACATATCCAACTAGTCAATTTTATGTCATTAACTAAAAAATTTTTTTGAAAGAAAAAAAAAAGTTAACCACGTTTATTAACCGTAAATTAATTTATTTATATATAATAACAAACAATATATAAACAAAAATTATTTACAAAAAAAACTTAACTACACCTACGTAATCAAGAAACAAGTAGATTAACCACAAAAATACTGTAGATTAGCTGAGATCGGATGCGGTTCTTTGTAAATCTATTAAAAACCGAAATTTTCTATAATTTTTCCTTAAATATTTGAACTTTCCTGATATGTAAAAAAGAAGTCTTTACCAACTTACGTATATATTCCCCACCAAATTTTTCTATACCTTTTCCTTATTTACTTCAATAGTTTTAAAGAAATAATTTTTTCTGGAAAAAAACTTTAACTGCGAAAAACTTAACATGCGCACCTTTTACGTACACACCGCATACGTAGAGCTTATAAAAGACTTTTTATTATGTTTGTTTTTTCTGCAAAATGCATTTCATTGATAGCTCAATGGTTAAGTGCGCTGTCATCAGTGTTGTTTTAGAGGATTTAAAACCTCCTCTTAGCGTAAGTGTTTTTTAAATTATTTCAGTCATGCTTATATATTTACAACAAAAACAAAAAAGAATATAATAAAAAGGATTTCTAAAATTTAAAATAAAATTTTAATGTTTTCTCATTTTGTAGATATAATATACGCGATAATATCATATAATAACTGCAAACTCAAAAATTGCTAAAGACGTATACACTTACAGACGTTTGTACTTAACACTATACAAATGGAACTAAGAAGATTTTAGGTCACTAAAACACAGTCATGAAAAAAAACTCATTTTTACGATTATGATAAAGAACTAAAAAATAATATTAAATGCTCATCTAAATGTTAAGTCAAAGAGATATTGCGCATAAACGTGAGTTTGTTGCAAAAAAAAAAAAAAATCCCGCTCCCTTTTCTAATATAATATTTTTTATTGGATCAGCACTACTTATTATGAAAAGAACAAAGTAAATTGAGAAAGAGTGAGCTTTTGACCTAAATTTAGACCCACAACTTATGTGCCTTGTGAGATGTGGGTTCTTTATTTGAACTGCAATATGCTGAAAAAGCATTGTAAGATATATACAAGATAAAAAAAAAAATGATATAATAAAAAAAGTATAAACATAACATATTAATACTACAAATCAATTTGTTTGCTGCTGATATTTTTACTATATAATTGTTAAAAATGGTTACAATCTAAAAAGAAAAGGAATTAATTAGAAAAACAGTTGCACAAAATAAAAAGAAAAAAATCATATAAGCTATCAGTGAAAACAAATTTTGTAAATTGGTTAAAATTAAAAGTTATTCTTATCTTGATTGCAATAAACTATTTTTTTTTTAAACTATTAGCTAATGATCAACAAAGTAAATTTTAAATAATTAAATTTTAATAAGTTAAAACTATATTTTAACAGTGGCCAAAGTCAACTTATGAAAGTTGGTAGAGCACTAAAGTAGATCTGAAAAAAATTAAAACACTGAAATAGAACTGAAAGAATTAAAACAACAACTAAATTTAAAATGTTTTTAATACAAAATATTGCCAGTTAAACATGAAAAGTAGCTCTACCATCACGAGATAATAAAGGTAAAATTATAAACAAAATTAAAAAAATCTGTAAAATGTTTACTTTTATTAAAAATGCAATTCTTTTAATTAAAAACATAAGTGTTTTTATGACCAGATAACGACAAATCAATAAGCAAAGAACAAGTTTATTTACAAATTTATTGTAAGCACTTATTAGGCACGCCTCATTTTAGTGATAATTGTTGATTAATTTGAAAATTATTTACTGCTTTAAAGTATTAACAAAACTGTAACTGTTAAAAAAAACTTTTTTTGAAATGGATAATCTCAACACCGTCACAGTAGCAAATCATTTTAATATTTTGCATGTTTTACAGACTAAACTTTTGATAGTGTTGATATAATATTCATATAAAGAAAATGTATAGATAATATTCATATAAAGAATAAGTCGGTGTGAAACAGACTTACGAAGACCAGTTTTACGGGTCTGGTCGGGTGACACTTTTTTTTACCTTTTTTGTGTTCGCATTTCGAGCTGGTATTCAGACAGGTATTAACATCCAGTCGGCGATTGACGCAACGGTTACCGTAACATTTAAACTTTATTAAGATTTATTATAATAGAAGTTTATATTTTTTCATTGCTTTATAATAAAAACAATGAGTATAGTTTTTTTTTTATTGATATAACTATTTTTCTACAGCTCACTACAAATTATTGAAGTAAGTAATAAAGTATCGAAAAGGGCGCTATGATATGAATTTACAAAGACCCGTTATTTTACCGGTCATGACAGCTAGTTATTATTATACATATAGTAATATTAATTAACAAAATCAAATAAGTTTCAAAAATTACCTATAGCATTGTTAATATATTGTTAATATGAAAAATAAAAGTTTTTTAAAAATATTTAGTGGCTTAAGTGCAAACATTCGTTGAGCATCAACGTTTATTTAAGGTGGTACAACACCAAATATTTTCTGAAAATTGAAAAAAAAAGTAAATTTTTGATATTTCGCTCATTTGATAGACAATTTTTTGTAGATTAGTAATATAAAAAGCTTATTTCCAATATATCTTTTAATTTTTTAAAAAGTTAACTAACTAAAAATAAATTATATAGGAATGATAAGAATATTTAATCTTCTTTTGCGTTTTTCTCCGTTTTCATCTTTTGTGAAACATTGCTGATTGTAAACATGATATCTTGAGAAGCAGAAGTGCTAATCATTCCAAATTTTCAGGAAATGTTTATTATACTATTCTCTAGAGAATGACATTTCGAAATTTTTAAATTCTGCTTCAATCATTTTTTTTTTAAATTTTAAGGTCTTAAAAAGTTTTTTTTTTTTTTACTTGATGTAAAAAAATTGATATAATTTTTTATGTACTTGGAATATTTTAAAACCCAAATGTCAATACCTTACCTTACATGTCTAGAACATATGTAAAAAATATCATCAACTTTGTGTTATTTATTTCAAGTTATCGTGTTTTGAATGGATCCATTAAAATGAATGTTTTTCGATAAATTCGAGCCAAAGTTATCAAGGCAATGTAAAATGAAGTATAAAATAGCATTCTAAATTAATAAAACTTTTATTAATATTAAATTCATCTGTTTTTTTCTAAATTTGAACATTTTAGATTATTTGGTGGTGTACCACTTTAAAATTGATGTTAAATGTAGCAATTTTTTTTTTTTTATCCTAATAATTTTTTTTTTTAATTAATTTTTTTTCTAACAAGCTTATTATTTTTCTATTATAAATTTATGTTGTATTATAACTTTAATATAATCAGCAAAAATATGTTAAAATCTAAAAGAGATCATTTTTTTTTTTAATTTAGTTCATAATGATTTAATATTTTATTTCCATTAAGAGTTTATAGTAAAAGTTTATTTAATTTTTAAAAGACAGTGATATCTACCATATATATATATATATATATATATATATATATATATATATATATATATATATATATATATATATATATATATATATATATATATATATATATATATATATATATATATATATATATATATATATAATATATATATATATATATATATATATATATATATATATATATATATATATATATATATTATATATGTATATATATGTATTAGCTTTACATGTGTCAAAAAAAAATATTCAGCAAAATAATAAGTATGAATCTTTATTTTGTAAACTATTTCAAATTAAACATTTTATACATTAATTAATATATATTTTATAGATATTTCAATAAATTTATTACATATATGACAAAAATATTTAAGTATATATATATAGAAAAAATTATTTTTTTAGTTTTTTGGAGTCAATGGAGCAATTATTCAAGTTGCGATTCTACTAAGGGGTATATGAACAGAACGAGGGAGTGTAATACTTCAGATCCTATTAATCAGTGTTTAGGTAACAGCACTGAAGTAAAAGAATGTTATGGTAAAATTAAATATTAATTTATTAATTTGAATAGTGTCTAAAAAATTCATCAATAAATGTAATTAAGTTCAATAAAATTCAACAAACTTATAAAAAATTACTTTTTTTTTTTTTTTTGTTATAATAATAATATTAGTTTTGCTCTTCTTTATTTATCAAATTGATGGTAGTCCATTTTTTTGAAAATATTTTAAAGTTTGGTTATAATATCAAATGTCTATAAAAAGCTGCCAACAAACAATATAAGTAAAAAT